GTGCTGAGGGATTCTTAAGGAGGGAGGGGGGAATAGCAAAATGCAGCTTAATTTTGAACCTTCTATGGGAATGGAATGTGTTGAGGAATACCACAACACAGAATCTTTATATAAGGGGATTTGAAACCCAGACTTTGTGTATTAGTTAAATTGTCTCTGTTCAAAACCGGATTTATAATGCAGTAACATTCTAGCCTTTAGAATCTGTAAAATATGCACTCTGTACAATGTTCACATTGTGTTTGCCCTGGCAATTCTCTGTAGAACATTATCCAGATTATCTTGGGCAGCCTTCTGCATTTTTCCTGAGTTTTTTTCTTACATTAAGTAGCTTGTTTTAACCACATCCACCCTAGAAGCATCTTGCCAACATATGATTAGCAGCAACTCAGTCATCCGATACAAACTAGATCACATTTTACAGTCTAATACTGTGGGAAAATGGCAAAACCCAAATTTATATTGTGCACCAATAATTAGGCAGGAAACCTTTATAAAAACATGTACAAGATCACAAGATTGTTTTTGAAGAAGAAAGCTATATGGCCCATTTGATGTCACCCTTCCAGAATACCTACCTTAGAATATTCCAATCACAGCATCAAGATGTTTCCTAAATGACCCAATGGCCTTGGCCCCATTTCACTCCTTTTGGTAACCAATTCTGCCCTGCATCTGTGACTTCTTGTCCTGCTACCTTGCAGTACATAGACCATTACGCTGTGTGTGTGACCCCGAGTGTATATGAGAGCCAGAGCCTTGTATATGTGACTGTGCATATATGTGATAAACTGCTGTCCAGTATATGCAACCCTGCATATAGTAACCAAATGCTGCCCTGCGTATGTGCCAATGTGTATAGAACAAACTTTGCCTTTATGTGCAACCCTGTGGGTATGTGACATGGTCCTGCCATGTATAATAATAATAATCCTTGCATTTGTTACATTGTCTTTCACGTGATCTACATGTCTCAAAGAGCTTCACAGGATACACTGTGAAGCGGATTGACTGTGTGTTTTATTAGCGAAATGCAACAGCCAGTTGCACACGGGAATGCCCCACAAACAGTCATTGGAATAAGTGACCAATTTTATTTGGGGGATTATTGGACAGGACACTGGGAGAAACGCCCTTATCTTTTCAAATAGTGCCATGGGATCTTTAATATCCACCTGAACAGACAGATGAGACCTCGGTTTAACAACTCATCCAAGGGATGGCACCTCCGAGAATGCAACACTCCCCCAGCACGTTGTTGAGAAATCTCAAAGCTCTTCACAGAATATTGTAAAGTGGATTCACTGTGTACTTTGTGGGAGAAAGGTGGCAGCCAATTGCACACAGGAGTGTCCCACAAACAGTCGTGGATTCAGTGACCAATTTTTTTTCGAGGGATTATTACCACCAATTGACTAACAACCGTGTTCCTACTTACAACAACAACTAGCATGTATATAGCGTCCTTACTGCAGAATAGCATCCATGAGTGCTTGACAGTGGTGGAGTCTGATGCCGAGCCAGGGGGAAGAGGGAGGTGACCGTAAGCATGATCAAAAATTAAGGTCTTGAGGTGGGATTTGAAGTTGGGGAAAGAGGGAGCAAGGTGGAGGGATCGAGGGAGAGAGTTTTGGGGTGTAGTGACTGAAGGCAATGCCACCGATGGTGGAGCAGAGGTCACGAGGGACAAACAGGAGGCTTGAGCCATCTGAGCAGAGGCAGCGTGTGGTGGAGTAGTGGGTAACAAGTGAGAGGAGTTTGAAATTGATCCATTGCGTAATTGGGAGCCGGGAAACCTGGCAATTACTAGCGTGATGGGGGTAGTTCTGTAGCTCAGTGGTTAGAGCACTCGCTTTGCAAGCGGGAGACCTGAGTTCAATTCCAGGCAGCGCGAAACCTTGGGCAAGTTTCCTTACTCCACACATCTAATAATAATTCCTCCAAAAAAACAAAAACAATAATAAATTGGTCATTTTCAATCAATGACTGTTTGTGGGACACTGCTGTGCTCAATTGGCTGCCGCGTTCGCCCACAAATATATAGTCAATTCACTTTACAGTATATTCTGTGAAGCGCTTTGGGACGTCCTCCGGATGTGAAAAGCACTATATCAAATGCAAGGATTATTATTATTACAGAGATTTGTAGGATGAGTATCCGGGCATGGAGTTTTAGGTTAATTGAATTTTGTGTATGGTGGAGCTGGGGCGACCAGCGAGGAGAGCATTGGGAAGCCAGGAAGTGATGAAGGTGTGGACAAGAGTCTCAGCTGTGTTGGTGTTGAGGTACAGACAGAGGCGGGCAATGTGATGGAGGTGTAAAAAAGCAGTCCTGGTCAGGGAACGGATGTGGGATAGAAAAGAAAGCTGGGGATGGAACCTGATGCCTAGGTTGCGCATAGGTTCGGTGAGTCTGAGGGAGAGCCTGGGGAGTTCAGATCCACAGGAGAGAAGACATTGACGGGAGCCAAACACTATGGCTTCCATCTTTCCAACTTTCAGCTGCGGGAAATTTGCACTCATCCAGGCCTTGATGTCTGTCAAACAAGCTAACAGGACATCAGTGAGTCGCAGCTGGAGAAGTAGATTTGGGTGTCATCCATATACATGTGGAAGTTGACCCCCACTTCTACGGATGACATCACCGAGAGGGAGCATGTAGATAAAGAAAAGATGGGGACCAAGGATGGAGCCTTGAGGTACCCTCACAGGTAACCTGGCAGGACGGGAGTTGAAATCATTTGCCAAGATGTATTATTGGCAGTTTGTTAAGTAGGACTTGAACCATGCAAGTGTGGTCTCACTAAGAACAACAACTTGGATTTATATAGCACCCTCCAGGCCGGACGGCGTCTCAGAGCTCATCAGCGGACTGGGAATTGCAGCTGGAGGAGAAGTAGATTTGGGTGTCATCCGCATACATACATATCCACTAAGGTGAATAAGGGAGGAGAGGCAGTGGAGGAGGATAACATGATTGACCTTGTTGAACGTGGTGGAGAGGGCCAGGAGAACGAGGAGGCAGCGGGAGCCCTGGTCAGAGAGAGAGGACTTCATTTGTTACTTTGACAAGCGCTATCTCTGTGCTATGGGCAGGGCGGAAATCGGACAGGAGGGTTTGAGTAGGGAGTGGATGGAGAGGTGTGAGTGAAGTTGATTTGCAACCATGCGTTCCAAAACTTTGGCCAAGAAGGGCAGGGTTTAGATGGTTCTGAAGTTTGTGAGGTTGGAGGGATCGAGGGTAAGTTATTTAAGAATAGGAGTGATGACAGCAGTATTGAGGGGGAGTGGGACAGAATCTGAGGAGAGGGACTGGTTGAGCAGTGGGGATTGGGTAGGGGGAGTTGACTAACCAGAAGCTGAGTGGGGAGGAGATTGAGGCAGCAGATGGTGGGTTTCATCTGGTTGATGGTGGGGAAATGGAGGAGGGAGAGATATGGGCAAAGGAGTGTAGGGGTAGGAGGAGAGGCTGATGAAGGCGGTAGGGGGTGTTGATAGGCGACATGAGGGTGGGATGGGGAGGAGGATGCCGTCTATCTTAAAGATAAAGAAGTCTAGGACCTTTTTGGACTTGGCAACTTGGCATCGGATCACTACAGATGGAAGGCCAGAGGGAGAAGGTCCAAGGAGGAGAGGGCGTCTGTGAGGGACTTGGGTGGAAGCTTTTTTCATGGTGGAAAAAGATGGTAGAGGGCTTGGAGGAGGGAAGGTTGTCAAATATCAGGGGGGAGAGTTAGGAAGGATATGGATCAGAGAAGTGGGGTTTACCTGTCGGAGGCAGGCCTTGCGAGTAGGTGGGTGATGGGGCAGTTGGGGTGGCTGCTCTGGGACAACCATCACCGAGGATGCCCAAGCTGGAGCAGAGGGAGGCTGTGGAAGGGTCCAAGAGGGAGAGAAGATAGGGAGGGCAGGAAGAGAGGACTGAGTTGGAGTAACAAAAAATAGGAGTGGGGGCATTTTGGGAGGGGGTGACTCAGGTCAGGGGTCACTTAGGTCAGGGGTACTTCTGTGTACCTTACTGCCAGGTAAACACAGGCGTGTGGAGTAAGGAAACTTGCCTAAGGTTTCAGCCTGCCCAGGAATTCAACCCAGGTCTTCTTGCTTGTGAGGCGAGTGCGCTAACCATTAATTGACAGGACTCCACGGGAGAAAATGAGAGAGAGTAAAGAAAGAGAAGAGAGAGACAGAGAGGAAAGAGAGAGAGAGAGAGAGGAAGGACACACAGAGAGGAGGAGTGGTATCTTCTCTGATCTTCATGTATATGTTGTCTTCCACAGGTTGCTGGCCCTCAGATGTGACCACCAGCTCCCCCCCTCCTCCTTCTTCTTCTTCTCCTCCTTCTTCTTCTTCTTCTTCTCCTCCTCCTTCTTCTTCTCCTCCTCCTTCTTCTTCTCCTCCTCCTTCTTCTCCTGCTTCTTCTCCTCCTTGAGCAGTTGCTGCCATGAGCTTGTGTCGTGTGTGCATTTATTTAAATACGAGGGGGGGGGGGGTTGGTTGGTTGGTTGTTTGCATTAGACGAGTTGCTGCAATGTGGTGTTTGAATTTGGCGCCACTGTGGTGTGTGTGTGTGTGGGAGGGCTGGAGGGAGGAGGAGGGGGAGGGCTGGAGGGAGGAGGAGGGGGAGGGCTGGAGGGAGTGGAGGGGGGGGGGAGCTGCTTGTTTCTCGCGGTGCTGTGGTGTGAGTGAGTGAGAGTGAGTGAGTGCCTGGGGCTGAGTTGGAGCAATTGCTGGAGAGGAATACAATGTAACCCGCAACCACACACACTGACACATCCACATCCTCCCACACCCACACAGACACCCACCCACCCACCCAGAGACCAGCAGACAGACACACACACACAGACACACAGACACACACACAGACACAGACAGACAGAGACAGACGGACCGCTCCATGACTGAGTGCGCGGCCGAGCTCCCTCTGCAGACACTGAGCGGCGGCATCGACACCCAGCAGCCGGCCCGCAGCCCGCAGCCCCCCGCCGCCCGGGAGCGGCAGCAGCAGCAGGAGGTGGTGGTGGGGGCCGTGGCCGCCGATGCCCGACTGCCAGGCAGTCTGATAAAATGTGACAAGATGACCCAGGAGAAGAAGAAGAAGAAGAAGCAGCAGCAGCCGCCGCCGCCGCGGGCGAACCGCACCGTCATGTTGGCTAAAAAGATTATCATGAGGGAGGGCAGCGGGGTAAGCCACTGCTTCACTGGGTCTGGGTCTGGGTCTGGCTGTGTTTTATTTTATTTTATTTTGTTTTGTTTTGTTCGGCTCTATTGGGCTGTCATTGCAGTAGGAAAAAAATGTAGTAGTAGTTTTAATAATAATAATAATAATAATAATGATGATGATGATAATTATCCCATCCCATCCCCCGCGCCGCTTTGTTTTGGGTAGTTTTGAACCCCTTCTGCCACCATTTCTACCCCTCCCTCTCCCCTCTCCCCCCCCCAAAAAAAAATAAAATAAAATAAAATAAAATGACACCCCCCCACCACCACCACCGCCTCCTATCGCTGCTTAAATAAATCTGCGGAGAATTAACTACACTCTCAACGTGGACCTGAGGCCACAGTCCGGGTCTGTGCTCCCTCTGTTACCCCGAGACACCCCTCTCTCTCTCTCTCTCTCTTTATTAATTATTTTTAATAAATAATATATATATATATGTGTGTGTGTGTGTGTGGAGAGGGGGAGTCGTGGAACAAAATGTATCTTTGCATTGATGTGTGTGTGTGTGTATGTGGGGGAGAGGGAGAGAAAATAAAGTAAATGGCTTTATTGGCTGTGATTGCAGTCCGAAAAAAAATGTAATAATAATAATAATAATTATGATGATAATTTTTTCCCCCACACATCCCCCGCACCGCTTTGTTTTGTTTTGTTTTGTTTCCCTTCTCCCCTTCCTTTTCCTCTCACGATTTGTTTCACGTCGGTTCCTCGTTCCCCTCCTGAACGCTGTGGCCGAGCAGAGCGTTTGCAGTGAATTGGATTTATTTGGGGAGGGTTCAGGGACTCGTGTTTGTCGAGGTGTCATGTTTGGTGTTTGTCTGTGTTTTTATTATTTTTATTATTTTTTAATTAAAAAAAAAGCACATTTCTGGCCTCGCCTTATACCGACACTACCCCTCTCCCTCTCTCTCTCCTCTCCCTCTCTCTCTCCCCACTTCTTCCACCAGCACCAGCAGAATGTACCTTAGATATAAACGTAAATGAACTCTGATTCTTATTCATTTTCCAACCACTCCTTTCGAAAACTACATGAAGAAAAAAAAACCTGTATTGCATCACAGACAATATTTCCTAAGTGAGACAATTTCCTGTTTGACTTTTGAGCTGAGCCACTGCTGTGTGTGTGTGTGTGTGTGTGACATCCATAACCATTTGGATTAAATATTATCCAGCAGATTAGCAATTTTTTTTTAGTTTTTAAAAGAAAACTTAAAACTCAAATGCAAAGAAATTGCTTGTAAGCCCAAACCCGTAAAGGTACTCTTTGACACAGCTGCAATAGTGTCTCGTCCACCTCTGAGTGGTATGTGTAAACTAAAGCTGACTTGGACTGGCTTAATATGTTAGTTTATTGACCTGCTTTGAGTAGAGTACTGCCTATTGCGTGGTGGGTTCAACTCTTTTTCTCTCTTTTCCCCCCCAAAAAACACACACCCACTTACAAAGTTGCACACGCAGTTTGCACAGAAACGAAACAGAAAGAAACCCTCATACCACGTTTTCCCCAAACCTCTTAACTTTACTGTTTGGGTTCCTATCACCTCATGCACAATGATGGCTGGGCTCCAGTGACTCTTGACTTCATGTTTGTGCAATCTCAGTGGCCTACATTAGTTTCCTTGCTTGTATTCAAGCAAGACATCTGTCATTCAGTTGTTGCAAAGGGAAGAGATTTTTAAACTCAAAAAAAACTTTTGTAAAATGATAATAATAATCCTTGCATTTGATATAGCGCTTTTCACGTCTTCTAGACGTCTCAAAGCGCTTCACAGAATATGCTGTGAAGGGAATTGACTGTATATTTGTGGGCAAAACGCGGCAGCCAATTGCGCACAGCAGTGTCCCACAAACAGTCGTCGATTGAAAATGACCCAATTTATTATTGTTTTGTTTTTGGAGGGATTATATTATTAGGTGTGTGGAGTAAGGAAACTTGGCCAAAGTTTCGCCCTGTCTGGAATTGAACCCAGGTGTCTCGCTTGCAAGGCGAGTGCTCTTAACCACTGAGCTACAAGACTCCATCACATTGCTGGGGGTGGTAAAGCTCTTAAAAGTGGGGGGAAGGTTAATGTAATTCGATCTGATGTCTGAAACAAGAACATAGGACACTTCTTACTGTAGTTTTCTGCTGTTTGCACTGGCCAGGGCTGTGGACTCCAGATCAAGACAATAAAGACAGTTGAGGAGCAGAATTGTGCAGATAATGAGACAAAACTGATCCCCCTTAGAAAAAATCTAAATTTAAGTCTGATAACCCACATGTCTCATTTGAATCTCTTTTGAATTGCAGCAGGTTTTGAAAAACTATGTAATGGGGCAAGAATCAAATGGGCAGATGCTGGAAATCTGCATGAAGCGATTTTAAAGCTGGAAATGTACAGCAGATCAGTCGGCAGAGGGGGAAAATAGGTTACTGTCTTGGGAATAATCCTTTATCTGAACTTACTGAAGCGTTACTAAAATCTCACACATACACACACACACACGCGCGCACGCACACAAACTGACTGGTTATAATGTCCAAAAATAATAATAATCTTTGCATTTGATATCGCGCTCTATCACATCTTCGAGATGTCTCAAAGCTCTTCAGTGAATTGACTGTATATTTTTGTGGACCAATTGCGAACATGGGTGTCCCACAAACAGTCGGGGATTAAGTCACCAGCAATCAGCAGGGCAAAATCTACTCCAAACTAGGTTGGCCTATAGCTGTGGATTATTGAAACTGTGTCCTGTATTGTGAATAGTTATCTAAACAGGAGAGTGGCAGCAATGGAACAAATGTAAACTCAGGGTGACCGTTATGAATGATGCGAGTTTCACCTGCCCTGTCTTCTAACACCTTATTAAGTGACTGCCCTGCAATTGCTCCCAGATAGACCATCATTCTCTCACTACGTGAATTAATTACAGCTTCAGTGTGCCTAGTTTCCTAATGCACTGACTATTTCCTATTACACCAATGTTTTTTTTAAAAAAAGCTAATTTTGGATAGCTTTTAAAACTTCTGGCCAGTGTCCTGATAAGCCTAGTTGTAGTTTCCAGTTTCATCCAGACAAGGTCTGCTTGCCTCCTTCATTGATCTTTCCTCTGACAAGTTTGGGCCCCTACCTCAGGGGTTCCCAATTAGTTGTTCATGGTCCGGAAACCAATTTTCTGTACTGCACAGGGCAGGATGCAAGTAAATTGTGACTTGCCTGTGCTTGCTTGTTTTTTTTAGAACATATATTCCAAATAAGGTTTGTCTAACATTTATAGTCACTCACTACAGTATTTTTTAAATTGCATAAACTGATATTGACTGTAGTTTATTCTTTTGTTTCTTACTTATTGTTTTTCATTGTTAATGATTGCATTTGTAGTCAGAGGCCTACTTGTCTCCGGGCCACTGGCCAACTGTAACATCACATCCAAGTAGTATGCTTATCAGGTTCATAGATAAAAGCAAACTACATCCCACTGTCTTGTACTGTTAACTTTCTTTGAAGTTGTGTAATATGAAAGCTTCCTCCCTCCCCCATCATTTTGGACATATGTTGAGTGAGTAAGAGCAAAGAGCTACTCGTACACAGGGAGGGTACAACCTGAGAATGTGAACAACTCGTATCTTGTGCCACGTGGTTTGGCTGAAATAGTTCTGGTCTTGGGGCTTCCAACTGTAAAAATGCAACTCAGTACAGCACCAAACCATAGTGATTAAATGTCTTTCTGGTCTTGTTACTTTAGTTGGGACACTACAGTTGATCTCGGATCCTTGGGTTAGTGGGGGAGGTTTAAGAAAAAGTCCACCGAGGCTAACTATCCAGTAACTTTCTGTACAAGGTAGAAAATTAAGAGCAGGATTGGCCTTAAATATGTTTTTCTTTCACTGCTTTTCCTCACCTTCCCCCTCTTCCCCTCCCCCATCCCCAGTTGTATGGTTTTAATTCTTGATTGGTATACACCAAAATGAAGGGTCTTTTGAGTCAGATACCAGAGAACTACTGATGCCCAAGCAACTATAGGTGAGGTGGGGGAGAGACAGAATTGATGCTTAAAAGAGAGCCTCTTTTTACAATGTATATTAATGATGTCTTAACCATCCCACAGTCCCTTTGCCTCGCTCCATTCCTTGCCTTCTTCAAGGCCTGTCTCAAGACCCTCCTCTTCCACCGTGCCTTTGGTCACGCTCCTACCCCTACACTCCAACCCTCCTGATCCCAACTCCCTACTTGGGTCAAAATCTCCAGCGCCTTGGGATAACCTCATGACGTGAAAGGTGCTATACAGATGTAATTTGTGTTGTTGTAGTGTCAACTATTGTCTCAGTTGGGGAAACTTCTGCCATGGCAGAAGTTGTTTGCGACAGGAGATTAAGTAATGATCCAAATTTAAGTATTACTCAAGCAGATGAATTGCTCTCTGTTGCAAAACAGCACTTTTTGGGGGGAGTTGTTTTTGTATGTAAACTTGCATCACTTCTCAGTAACATAATATGCCTTTTGGAATTTAATGCAGGGTTCAGAATATAGCCTATATGTCTTAAATGTGTGATGGATAGATTTTTAAAATTGTGGAATGGAACACTCCAGGAGTATCTTTGGCATGTGCTTGAAGCCTCGGATCATACATGTCATACCTGTAGCTGTATAATATTTCCACACTGTTTTTGTCCTGTGGCATCTGAGTGAAACCAATTCATGCCATGTATTCTACTGTATGGTAGCAGTAAAGAAAACCAAGAACTGGGTCAAAGAGCAATTCTACTTTTAGAAACCTTTTTAGGTGGTGATGCCAGTTAGTGTGTTTGGTGTGGCTTCAAGTAGCAATATGTTTCTTTGGAATAGTGGGCCTGAGGTTCAATTCTTCTCATCTTTGACTCTACTGCTCCACGGGGAAAATGCTTACCTGTGGAGAGGAAGTTGGAAGCAGGGTTACCAGCCATGCTCGTCTGTCTCCTCTTGACTGGCTTGGAGTAT